TACAACACAGGCAGAGGGAGTGAGTCACCATGTGACTCTGTGTCTGTATATAGAGAATATACTGTTTAATATCTCATAACCTTTAAGTCCAGTTCCTATTTGTTTTCTCTGCAGGTCTCTGGACTCCGCTACAAACAACATGTGTCCCTGCTGACGGTCCCTCACTGGACAGAAGAAGAGGAGCGTCTCAACCAACCGGTCATTCTCCATCCCAACATGGCAGACGACCTCTACAGCAGCACCTTCTCTGCTTCTGAATCAGACTTCTCCTCCTCCTCTTCCTCCTCAGCCTCCGCCGCCTTCCTCACGCTCGAGCAGAGGGCGGCATTCATCTTCGTCCTCATCCTCTTCATCTTCCTGGGCCTGCTGATCGTCCGCTGTTTCCGGATCCTTCTGGACCCGTACCGGAGCATGCCGTCCTCCACCTGGACGGACTACATGGAGAAGGACACCTTTGACTACCGGATTTCCTGACAGGCAGCCTGAGAGGCAGCAACCCTGACAATCAACATGGTTAAACTGAGACGACGATCACACTGAGAGAGAAAAGCAGAAACACAAGCGCACATTTCCCCTCTAGTGGTGACTATGGTGTAGTACAGGAGAGTGACCAGAGTAAAAACTTAACGAAATCAAAATAAACGACTAAAGAAACCATAGATGGAGATAAAACAACTTCATTAAAGAAGGGGCTGCACAAAGAGCACTTAGTCCCCAAGAAGTCAAAATTGATGTTTTTATCTCATATCTCTTGTGCTATACGTCACCTTTACTCCAGTATCTGGCCCAACAATGACAGAAAAGTCATTTTTCAGGTTTTTCAGTTATTCTTAATGGTGTTTCAGAATTTGTTATCTCCTGAAAAACAAAGTATTTTATTTTTAAACTAGTAAATATTTTCTGATGTCCTCCGGCTGCTCAGCTTCAACTCTCTGTGATTTACAGAGTTTCCTGATGGATAGATAGCTTTAGCTAAAGTAGCTAACTGCCATCAGCTGTAACTGTATCTGCCATCAGCAGGCAACAGCACCGGGCTCACAGCCTCCGAGACAGACTTGAACACACATTGTCAGCTATCATTCAAACCTAATTTAGTAATTACATTTAGATTGTCGGGGGGAAGAAGATACCCAGGCAGGAAGGACACAACCTGACCTGGAAAGTCTCGGAAATAGTGTGCTTGGTGGTTTTTTTTGCTTTCTGTCTGATTGTCGCCTCAGTCTGCCTGGCAGGAAAAACATCTGGGCAAAGAAACACGTGTAAACAGTGCTTGTAAGATTAAATGAAGAAATTGAACATGTTAATCAGAGTCTAATTCTCTGTTTGGAAACTCGTCCGAGGACTTGCTCATTTCCTGCCTGTCGCTGTGATTCCTTTGCCCAGATCTGAGAAGGTTGTAGAAATCCCTCCACTCTGTAGCGCTCTGACTGCACTGCAGGATTCAGCAGCAATGCAGCGAGAGCATGAAGTAAATGTAAGAGTGTGAAAGCTGAGGAGGGATTTCTATGACTGCCATCAAACTGCCTGCCGGGCGGCATGTTAGGGTTGCTGTCTCTCACGGGAGCAGAATTTTTCTTTTTAACTTTTTTGTTCTCCTTTTTCCCAAAATGGACAAGTTACTAACTTTGACTTAAAGAACTCATCCAGATGATGCTTGGTGAATGTCACTGAGGAAACAGGTGAACAATGTGGTGTTATTTTTGACTGAGTGAGGAGGAGGAGGAGGAGGAGGCCTGTGAGAGTTGAATGCAGGAGCACAGAGGAGTAATGGAGGCTCTGTTGAATCGTTCTAACTGCAGAGACGAGACGAGTTGGTTTCCAGCGACTCTGCGTCGTCCTGCCAGCCTGGCCGTTGCTTAGTAACTGGTGTTTTTCAGTGCCAGCTGATGTCTGAAACGCCGGGCGTCTTACCACGCAGCCGATCGGCGCATACACAGCTCTGTCGTCTCAGCTCTGAGGAAGAAGAGACCAAATACAGGCCACCAAGAACATGGCATGGTTTATCATTTCTTTGGTTCCTCCACAAAACAAACCATCAACTGGATGTTTCTTTTACTGTATTCCTAAAAATGTAGAAAACCTGCCAGTTATCACAAGAAACATTCAAATCTGCAGGAAAGTTCCAAATATGCACAAGCCATCTAGAATATTTCTAGTTTATACAATGATGCAGCCATTAAACCAGACACGCTGTTCCACCAGTGGGACACTAACACCATGTACTATGAATAATTAATAATAATAATGATAAAACTCATTTATACAGCACTTTAGCAAAGTGTTTCATACAGTTGAAACAAGATTAAAACATTTAAGTAGTCCTTCCAGGAAGTTGCAGTTGCAACAATGAAAACCAACTCAAGCATGACCTAGCAATTTTCAACAAATTGAACCAATCATAGTTTTCTGCGGGTTCAACACCAATAACAATTCCCTGAGCAGAACATGTTGGTCCATACACCACCAAACCACCAGAGAGTTTATTCTCACTGAAGTTGCCTACAAATAAACTCACAGCAACAATCCTAAATAAAGCCAGTGAAATCCTGGAGGGACTGGATAAGTTAGCACATGGAAATACACTCTGACCACAGCGTTCAGGAAACAGCTCTAGAGGCAGACATTATCCCTGCCATGAATATGTCTGATGACCACACTGAAGGCCACAAATGCCTGTTTGTGTTCTGCATCCTGAGCAGACAAACAAGACCATTGTGATCCCTCTGAACTATCAAAGGAACACCGACGTAAACCTCGAAATGTTCCAGAGCCATAACAAGCTTTCTTCTCGATCGTTGGGTACAGTCTCTGATGACAATCAAGTTTCTTGGAGAAGTAAGAAATCGGATGCTCAACCCCCCCGAAGAAAAGCACCCATGCCGGTGTCATTCACATCCGCAGCCAACTTGAATGACGCAAGGACAGGTGCGTTTACAAGTTTAGTCTGTTTGGATGCCAACTGGCAGGTATCAGACCACCTTCTTACTTAGTATGTCAGAGAAAGGCAACGCTACGGTGGAAAAGCATTGACAAAATTCCCCATAGTAACCCACCAGAATGATAAACTATTTATACAGCATTTTTTCAAACAAAGTTAAACTGCAATAAGGCAAATAAAATCAGACAATTAAACACCATACAAACATTAAAGCGGCAAGCAGCAATGAACAGGCCCTTGAGATTTGCACGCGTCGGCATCATACTGTGGTCACGATACAAGCATCATGCATAGACCTTTCACATTAATCAGATGACTATCGACATGCAAGGCTTACTTCCTGTTGCCAGTAGGTGGCGCTGTGACTGACTGAATATTTACATGTTAGGGGTTCGGGGTTACACTTCCACCAAACCTCAAGATTTTAATAACTTAATAACCAAATTTGTTAAAATAAAACACCTGTAAATGTCAAAATCTGACATGCAATTTAAAATGTCTGACTTCCTGTTTGGTTTTGGATGTGGCTCCGAGATGCTGTCTGGACATAATGTGCCTACCGACTTTTTTATATCTGGCTGAAACGTGCCGATGGGGCTACTTCTTTGAAACATATCATGTAGCTAACCCATACAGTGGTGGGGCTCAAATCAATATTCAATAAAACAACACCCTCCTACAGCTAGCAAAGTTTCCAAAAACAATAAAAACAATATTAAAACTCACCAGGTTGAGATTTTCAGTACAATCCGCCGGTTTTTGTGATTGGAGGCAAAGATTTATCCAACACGCCCGCCATCTGTTGTTCCGTCC